ACCAAGGCGGCCTTAGGGGACAGCCAGGGGACAGCATGAGCGTGGCACCAGGGCTCAGGGTGGCACCAGGGCCTGGGACACCGCAGGGACAGCAGTGGGACCAAGGTGGCCTTAGGGGACAGGATGAGGGTGGCACTAGGTCTCATAGTGGCACAAGGTCTCCAGGGACACCAATGGGACCAAAGTGTCCTTGGGGGACAGCACGAGGGTGGCCCCAGGTCTCAGGATGGCACCAGGCCTCCAGGGACAGCAATGGGACCCAAGTGGCCTTGAGGGACAGCATGAAGGTGGCCCCAGGTCTCAGGATGGCACCAGGCCTCCAGGGACAGCAATGGGACCCAAGTGGCCTTGAGGGACAGCATGAAGGTGGCCCCAGGTCTCAGGATGGCACCAGGCCTCCAGGGACAGCAATGGGACCCAAGTGGCCTTGAGGGACAGCATGAAGGTGGCCCCAGGTCTCAGGATGGCACCAGGCCTCCAGGGACAGCAATGGGACCCAAGTGGCCTTGAGGGACAGCATGAAGGTGGCCCCAGGTCTCAGGATGGCACCAGGCCTCCAGGGACAGCAATGGGACCCAAGTGGCCTTGAGGGACAGCATGAAGGTGGCCCCAGGTCTCAGGATGGCACCAGGCCTCCAGGGACAGCAATGGGACCCAAGTGGCCTTGAGGGACAGCATGAAGGTGGCCCCAGGTCTCAGGATGGCACCAGGCCTCCAGGGACAGCAATGGGACCCAAGTGGCCTTGAGGGACAGCATGAAGGTGGCCCCAGGTCTCAGGATGGCACCAGGCCTCCAGGGACAGCAATGGGACCCAAGTGGCCTTGAGGGACAGCATGAAGGTGGCCCCAGGTCTCAGGATGGCACCAGGCCTCCAGGGACAGCAATGGGACCCAAGTGGCCTTGAGGGACAGCATGAAGGTGGCCCCAGGTCTCAGGATGGCACCAGGCCTCCAGGGACAGCAATGGGACCCAAGTGGCCTTGAGGGACAGCATGAAGGTGGCCCCAGGTCTCAGGATGGCACCAGGCCTCCAGGGACAGCAATGGGACCCAAGTGGCCTTGAGGGACAGCATGAAGGTGGCCCCAGGTCTCAGGATGGCACCAGGCCTCCAGGGACAGCAATGGGACCCAAGTGGCCTTGAGGGACAGCATGAAGGTGGCCCCAGGTCTCAGGATGGCACCAGGCCTCCAGGGACAGCAATGGGACCCAAGTGGCCTTGAGGGACAGCATGAAGGTGGCCCCAGGTCTCAGGATGGCACCAGGCCTCCAGGGACAGCAATGGGACCCAAGTGGCCTTGAGGGACAGCATGAAGGTGGCCCCAGGTCTCAGGATGGCACCAGGCCTCCAGGGACAGCAATGGGACCCAAGTGGCCTTGAGGGACAGCATGAAGGTGGCCCCAGGTCTCAGGATGGCACCAGGCCTCCAGGGACAGCAATGGGACCCAAGTGGCCTTGAGGGACAGCATGAAGGTGGCCCCAGGTCTCAGGATGGCACCAGGCCTCCAGGGACAGCAATGGGACCCAAGTGGCCTTGAGGGACAGCATGAAGGTGGCCCCAGGTCTCAGGATGGCACCAGGCCTCCAGGGACAGCAATGGGACCCAAGTGGCCTTGAGGGACAGCATGAAGGTGGCCCCAGGTCTCAGGATGGCACCAGGCCTCCAGGGACAGCAATGGGACCCAAGTGGCCTTGAGGGACAGCATGAAGGTGGCCCCAGGTCTCAGGATGGCACCAGGCCTCCAGGGACAGCAATGGGACCCAAGTGGCCTTGAGGGACAGCATGAAGGTGGCCCCAGGTCTCAGGATGGCACCAGGTCTCCAGGGATGGCAATGGGACCGAGGTGGCCTTAGGGGACAGCTTGAGGGTGGCACCAGGTCTCCAGGGAGAGCAATGTGACCGAGGTGGCCTTAGGGGACAGCATGGGGGTGGAACCAGGGCTCAGGGGGGCACCAGGGCTCCGACAGCAATGGGACCGAAGTGTCCTTGGGGGACAGCACGAGGGTGGCCCCAGGTCTCAGGGTGGCACCAGGTCTCAAGGGACAGCAATGGCACCGAGGTGGCCTTAGGGGACAGGATGAGGGTGGCACCAGGTCTCAGGGTGGCACCAGGTCTCAAGGGACAGCAATGGCACCGAGGTGGCCTTAGGGGGACAGCATGAGGGTGGCACCAGGTCTCAGGGTGGCGCCAGGTCCCGGGGCCACATGGGGACAGGGTTGGTGGCACCGAGGTGACATCGGGCGTCCAGGTCCCACCTGGCGTCCAGCGAGCGGGCCAGGATGTGCAGGCAGTTGACGACGGCCGGCGCGTCGGTGCCTGGGGACACGGGGACAGCGTGAGGGGTGGCCGCGGGTGTCCCCTGCCCTCGGTCCCAAATGTCCCCTCTGGCCCTCGGTCCCTTACCGAAGAGGGAGACGCGGTGACGGACCAGGGCGGCCAGCTTGCAGAAGAGACTGGGGAGGAAGAGGAGGGGAGGAAGAGCAGGG